GAGCCAGGCATGGCGGTGTGGGCCTGTAATCCTACCTACTCAGGAGGCCGAGGTAAGAGAATCGCTTGAACCCAGGAGGTGGAGGTTGCAGTGAGCCAAGATCACACCACTGCACTCCAGTCTGGGTGACAGAGTGGGACTCTGTCTCAAATAAATAAATAAATAAATACAGAATCAGTATGATTGACTTTCCCTTTTGCCTTGGGCTCCAGTATGGCTGGACATGGCACTACCAGGGATGCCCCTAGAGTGGAAGCTGTCCATGTCTTGCCTTCCAACACTTTGTACCTCTCTCATTCTTTGTTCCAAGGTTGTTCTGGGCCTCTGCCTTTCCTCACATGGCACCTCTCTGTGTGAAAGGCCCTTTCTCCTTCTACCCTACCTTGCTGAGCTCACCCTCCTTCACCATCATACTTCTCTATGTGTCAGTTTCTTTATGTATAAAATGAGCATAATAAAGAGTGCCTAATTCATAGCCTTGTTGTGAGCATTAACATGGGCATAGCACCTGACGCCAAGGTGTGCACTCAGTGACAGCTAACTCCAGCATCAAGGTTGTTCTCATTCCACAAGAAGACAATCAGTGGCCAAGCTTCCCACTGCCCAAAGGTCAGGGCTGCCACTTAATGTTGGTTAGATGAAAAGTTACACCGAGTTCCCTATCTACATGGCTGACCACCCAAATCTCAATTACGGACCCCTCTTCCTCCATCTGATTGGTAAATTTAGGTGTTCCCTAGGGTTCTTGCTCAAACTTCTCTTCTTCTTCCTGTCTACTTTCTCTCCAGACCATGTATAGATATCCACAGCCTCAAGTGTGCCCTCCTGTCTCTGATACATGTGTGAGGTCTGTATCTCCAGGTCCAAATTTCCAAATGTGGTCTGGATATATCACCAGTGCCTAAATACCACTAAAATACTAATAATGATAGCCAGCAATGATTGAACACTGACCAGGCACCCTGTACTGAGCCCAATGCTTTGCATGGATTACTTCATTCAATCCTCTCAAAAACTCCATTTTACAGATAAAAAAAAAAAAAAGAATGAAAGAAAGAAAGAAACCAAGAGAAGGCAAGAACGTCACTCAAAGTTATGAACCAGAGAAGTGGTGGAGCCAGGATTTCAAACTGGACACAAGTGCTTCTGCTAAAAAAGGTTATCAAACGGCTCACCTTTTAATCAACAATATTCAAGTGATGTAAGGAAAAGCCGAGAGAACATAGGTCTCAACTGGGGGCAATTTTGCTTTCCAGGGAACATTTTGCAATACCTGGAGATGTGTTTGGTTTTCCCAACTGGAGGGTTGCTGCTGGCATCCAGTGGGCAGAAGCCGAACCTCCCCAAGGAGAGGCTGCTGCTGAAGATCTTACAAAGTGCCAGAAGCCGGCTACAACAAGGAATCATCCGGTCCAACATGTTAATATTGCCAAGAACGAGAAACCGTGCACTAGAAAAATCCAGATGACGCAAGACTGTGAGAAACTAGTGAAGGGTGCTATCTTTTCAGATGCTAACTCCCCCACTCACCAACTGAGCAGGTCCCTCTGCCTCCCTCCTGCCCACCCCCACCCTAGCCTAGCCCCCACCCCAGCCTAGCAAAGCCTCGCATTCTTACCCACCACCTATTCCCTTCTCTGCAGAAAGCACAAACAGGAACTCATTATCTTCCTCCTCAAAACCTTCCCATCCCTCACTCTTTGTCATGGTTAAAAATACCACCCTCCTCCTCCTTACAGGTGAGCACCCTTGTCCCCTCCTTGCGTGTGCCCCACCACCAGCCAACAAGCTGTGTTCGCTGAATCTCCCAGGTCTCTCCTGCTCATCCTTGCCTTCCTACTTCACTAACTTACTTGGGCCAAAATAGCTTCTCATGTTCTCTCTTTTCCAGTCATTAGGCTGAAGTCACTTTTTATTCATCTACGTTTGATCATTTTTTTTTTTCTTTTCAGATAGGGCCTCGTTCTGTTGCTAAGGCTGGAGTGCACTGATGCAATCATGGCTCACCGTAGGCCTTGACCTCCAGGCTTAAGCGATCCTCCCACCTCAGCTTCCCAAGTAGCTGGAACTAGAAGCACGTACCACCATCTCTGGCTAATTTTAAAATTTTTTTGTAGAGACGGGGTTTTGCCATTTTGCCCAGGCTGGTCTCAAACTCCAGGGCTCAAATGATCCCCCTGCTTTGGGTCTCCCAAAGTGTTGGGATTACAGGCATGAGCCACCTCACCTAGCCCGGAGCATAATTTTCATAAAGAATTAAACTCAGGGGTCTAAACTCAAGAGCCTACCTAGCTCCTAGTCTGTGACTCCAGGATGTTCATGGTGGAAATTTAGAGTTCTGCACGTTGCCCTTCAGCCCTCTCCTTCAGCAGACAAGGTGGCCTCTTCCAGTCCAGGGCTTGTGCCCCTAACCCACTCTAGTTCCCATCTCCTCTCATCCTCAGTACCTGTTCTATCAATGAACCATCCCTTCCTCTCAATCTCTCCTACCAACCCAGATGCTTGCCTGCCCACACATCTTTAAAGAAGCCTCCACCCTTACCTCCCACTTGCTAGACGGCTACATTTCTGAAAAGAGTTGTCCACACTTGCCGTCTCCCACTCACTCCTCAACCCACCGCAATCTGGCTTCCAATCCCTCCACTCCATCAAGACAGCTCTGGTAAAAGTTATCAGCCCTCTCATTGTCATATGAAATGAACACTTGCTTTCCGGTCCTTTCTTGATGAAATTTCCTGTAACATTTGTGAGTGTTGCTCATTCCCTCCTTCTAAAAGCAATTTCTTCCCATGCCCCCTGGTTCTCCTTTTGGTTCTCTTCTTCTCATTATTCATACTCCCGACAGCTTAAACTGCCAAGAAAGGCAGTGCAGGGTGGTGAAGAGCCTGGACTCCAATGCTCCTTGATGTGGTTTGGCTGTGTCCCCACCCGAATATCATCTTGAATTCCCACATGTTGTGGGAAGGACCCATTGGGAGGTAACTGAATCATGGGGGCAAGTCTTTCCTGTGCTGTTCTATAACTCTATAATGAATAAATCTCATGAGATCTGATGGTTTCAAAGAGTTCCCCCACACAAACTCTCTCTCTCTTTGCCTGCTGCCATCCATGTAAGACCTGACTTGCTCCCTCTTATCTTCCGCCATGATTGTGAGGCTTCCCCAGCTGTGTGGAACTGTAAGTCCAATTAAAAGTCTTTCTTTTGTAAATTTCCCAGTCTCAGGTATGTCTTTATCAGCAGCCTGGAAACGGACTAATATACTCCTCTACTCACTAGTGTTTGACCTTGGGCAAGTTACTCAACACTCCTGTGCCTCAGTTTCCTCAACTGTAAGATGGTGTAAGGCTTTTTAGTCTCATTGTTTTCCATGTCTGAACATGCATCATGTTCTCAGATCATGTTGAACCTCGTGGAGTTACCCACATATATCATGTGTTCACACTCAGTCTTTGCTCAGGCACCTGGGGGTGCCCAGCCAGTATCTGTGAATATATGCACGAACGCTGCTCTGGATTGGGTTTCCCCAGAAGTATACCTCGAGACAAGGAGATGGGTGCAGTTACTTTACTTGGGATCCCAAGAACAAATAAGGAAGTGAGAAAGTAAGGCAAGGAAGGGACAAGAGGCAAATCAAAGAATGACTTAATGAGGGAGTGACTTCTGGGGGCTACTGGATTCATTCCTACTGGGGGTTCCTCTGAGGAACTGCCTTGAAAGCATTTGAGAATTGTTCTTCCTTAGGGAAGGGGAGGCTGACACATTCATCCACTGTTTGGTTAAGGACTGCCCCAGGGCTGTTGAAAACTTTCAGGCTAGGCAAGATCCCACAGCCCTAGAGAAAGCCTCCTGGCAGAGAGGAGGGGTGCCTGCTTTGGATAGACAGTTCCTCTGTACAGAGGGCAGCTCATTGCAGCTGCCGGTGAGCTCAGAGGTGGGCCCAGGGAACATGGAGCCGAGCATCACTAACACATTGCGCTTGTTACTCTGCTTGGCAGGTCTGTGCCCCCTTATCTAGCTACATAGGTCCTGTCTCTTCCTAGAAAGTTAGTTCAAGAGTACCCACTTCTTGGAAGCATTTTCCAACTTATCTCCACCCTACTCCACCTTCAATGCTCTGAATATCCCTGGACACCCTGGACATGACTTTATAAGAGTACTTATCTCTCTGCTTACTAGATAGAGCTTTCTTGTCTTTCTTAGCAAGAGTAGTTCTTTTTCATCATTGCAGATGTAGGGCCCAGTTTTTTTTTTAGCACATTATAGGCACTTAACTGATGCCTTAAAATGAATTCAAGTTCACCTTGCTCAGAGACCCACTCAGAGCAAGTGGTCAACAAGTGTGGACTCCCTTTCCCCCATCTGATTTAGGAGAGCAGTCATCTAGTAGTGAGTACACAACGTGATAAATATATTCTTTAAACAGAAATGCCAAGGAAGCACAAAGAAGGGAGTAATTAACTGGGACTGTACCAATGAGACTATAGTTATCTCATCTGACAGTCTTAATTACTTACAGTTTTTTTTTTTTTTTTTTTTTTGAGACTGAGTCTCACTCTGTCGTCCTGCCTGGAATACAATGGCGTGATCTCGGCTCACTGCAACCTCCACCTCCAGGGTTCAAGCGATTCTCCTGCCTCAGCCTCCCAAGAAACTGGGATTACAGGCGCCCACCACCACGCCCGGCAAATTGTCTGTATTTTTAGTAGAGAGGGGGTTTCACCATATTGGCCAGACTGGTCTCAAACTCCTGACCTTACATGATCCACCCGCCTCGGCCTCCCAAAGTGCTGGAATTACAGTAGTGAGCCACCATGCCTGGCCTACTTATAGTTTTAACTTTCCAGAAGCACTAATAGAGCCATCTGGTGCTTCTTCCACTGCACTGGGCATTCCCTTTTGAATCTCTCCACCAAAGAGGAAGCTACAAGGAGCTGCAGGATGGAGTGAACCACCCTACCTCAGGCAGGGGTCCCATCTACAACTCTAGTTTGTTTGCTTCTTTCATTTATTCAACACGTGTTTATTGATGGTCTCATATGGGCCAGCATTGTTCTAAGGAAACAGGCCAAGGTACTGCTGTAATGCAGTTTACCCATGCAGTGGGGAGAGTGGGGGGCAGATAAAAAATAAGCAACCAATCAAAACAGTGACAAGGGCTATGAAGCAATCAAACAGGATGCGCTATATTTGGGAGAGGTGGAGGTGGGGTGTAGGTGCCAGAGACAAGTAGATCACATGGTTGGGGAGAGCCTCTCTGTGGAGCTGACTTCTGGGCTGTGAGCTGTGTGCCAAGAACAGTCATACAAGGGTTCTACCAGGCAGAGCGGACGGCAGCTGCAAAGGGCCTGGAGCAGGACCTTGGGACTCCTGGTGCCCACCTCAGAGCTCGTCCTACTGCTGCTGGCCACGGAGAAAGAATTGCAGAAAAGGAACAATGCTGGGTCTAAAACTGGTATCTGTTCCTTACTTGGAGTAAACGAGCTGGTACCCAACTTTCAGTTCCCAGCAGGTTCATTTCAGGCTTCTGTTTTCGCTCACGAGCATGTTCCCTCTTCAAAGTCTGATTGGGTTTCAAAGGAATCTGAAACACAGCAAAACCACCAAGCTGCATCCTCCAGGTAGACACCCCCGAAAAGTGGCATTTCCGTGGGAAACCACAATGAATCACTCTTTGGCTGTCTGGCCTCTCTGCCCAGTCAGAGATTGATTTTGGTTTTCCCAAACTTTGTAAAGCCGCCCCAGACTGTTTAACAACCTCCCCACCATACCCGGACTCTCAGATTAAGAGCAAAATCCCAAATTTCGTGAGGTTTTCCGTTTCAGATTTCAACAGAAGGGGGTCTGCCACAGCCACGAACCATATCCTCTGCAGAGAGCAGTTTCTGAAATGCTGCGAAGAAAAACAATCGCCCAACGATTAGGAGGGAAATGAAATTCTAAAGAAAGACTACGTCTCTGACTTTGAAAGTAGACATAGATATGCACAATATACATCCCACAAATTAAAATCCTCCTTTCTCTGATGTCTTTTAATGGCAATCATAAGGACAAGCATGGCTATCATTTATTTGGGTGTTTCCAATGTGCCAGTCCCTGTCTAAACATCGGTTTCCAGATCAAACCTATGAGGGTGGAATTAACGTCCATTTCATATTTAAGCAAACTGAGGCTCAGGAAAGTTGGGTTACTCAAGGTAACACGAGTAGAAAAAAAGGCCATATTCCAATGGGACACAGAGCCTGCAGCCCACACGATTACTCTCCATACTGTTCCTATAGTATCCTGACTGGGAAGGTCCTGTTCCTCTGGCACTGGGCAAAATGAGGAAATTATAAGAGCAGAGAAGAAGGGGTGAAAGGGGGCAGCCTGGTGAAGTCACTCCTTTACTGAAAATAGGGGTAACGGCCAGGACAGTGCAGGTCCATCCTCTGCAGATGGAAGACAGGCACGTCCTTTGCCGCTGTCCCGGCCTTAGAAAGGCACCTTCCGCGTCCAGGGTTTTTCTGTGGATAAATCCCACCCCTTCCACCTCTGGCAGGGAGGAGGCCGGCCGGCCAGGGCATGGGGCGGAAAGCGAAGGACGCCCGACCCGGGCCGAGGTCTGGGGCCCCGCGCGCGCCCCCCGCGTGGCTGCCGGCGGGCCAAGGGTTAAGCGAGGCGGGAGCCCCCGGCGCGGAGCGGCTCGGGGCTGGGAATGCTTAGTCAGGATTCCGATTTCCTGTCGAAGTGTTTGGATTTCCTGAAACCCGCGCCCTCCGCCGCCGAGCGGGATTGTGCGAGCCGCTCGCGTCGCCGCGGCCTCCTCCCCCTCGGCACATGGTCGCCCGCCCCTTCCTGCGCCGCGCTCGGCTCCCGCGCCTCGCCTGGCCTGGCCGCCGCCGCGGGCGAGCACTCTACGCTGGGCAGCCCCGGGCCCGCGCCTCCCGCCCCGCCGGCGCTTCCCGGTCGCAGTTCGCTTTCCCACCCGAGAGCCGCGAGCGCCCGGCCGAGCCCGCGATGGAATAATGCCCAGCGGCCCGCCAGGTCCCGGTGAGTTGCGGGGCGCTCGGACGAGCTCGGTGGGGCCGGGCGGAGTAGCCCACAGTCGCGGGCGCCCCCTGCCCAGTACCTCGCGCGAAGAGGGGTACGGGGACGGGGCGCCGGGCGGGCTCCCGGCTCCTCTCGCAGCGGGGTGTCCTTCTCCGCGGGGAGGGCGCCGGCCCTGGGCTGGGGCGTGTGCGGGACGCGCGGCCAGGCTCTGCGGGGCCGGATGAGGCCGCCTGGTGGGGGGGGGTGTCTCTGCGCCTCCAGCTCTGGAGAGGGGGCCCCCGCAGTGGGGCCGGGGATGGGGCCTGCCTTGGGGGGGCTTCGCGTCCGGCTCCGGGGGAGGGCCCGGGACGACGCGCTTGGCGGCCCGAACCCCGCGGATGGGGAGCCCTCCCGGCATTGTCTCTGGCGCGGCAGAGGAAAGTTCCCCGCGGTCGCCGGCCCCTGCCCGAACCCGGCGCTGCTTGGCAGGCCCCAGGCCACTTGCCTAAAGCAAAAGAAGAGAAACGAAGCGAAAGGAAAGGGGTAGGGGGAGTCCTACTTGGAGCTCCGTGTTTGCTCCCGGGCGGACCTGAAGTGGCTTGTGTTTTCTGCTTGTACCATTTTGGGACCTGCTGCATTTTCTGAGAGCGACGTGAAGTTTCAAAGAAAAAAGAAACTTGCCCGCGTCCGGTTTTCTGCGGTTTGATACATCCCAAGGGTTCATGTTGGGCACTTGTGAAGCAGTTTCCTTTAGTAATGTGGTTTTCCAGTAGCTCAGGGAGACAGATGGTCAACTGCAGACCATCATCCTTAACTTGACCTTAACTTTACCTGTACTCATCAGGCAAGAAAAAGAACTTTCTCTCGCATGTTCCCCTGTCTACTCTGTTAGATTATCTTGGCGTGATTGATTCTGGGATGACATCAGGCCCTGGATTGCTGAGTAATGTTTTGGGATTGTAAAAGCTGTTCGGTTTTTAGTCCTGGGTTATCCCTATTGCAACCTTCACCCCAAAGCCTTTCTGTTTTGCAATTGTAGCGCCACCAGACAGCTTTAAGAAAATGCGGGTCTTCTGGAAACAACCAGTCAGAGGTTTTGAAAGAAAAAGATCTTGGAGAACAACTGATTTCAGCCCCTTTTCTGAGAAGGCCCAGAAAGGTGACCTGACTTACCCAAGGTCACGTGGCCAGGAGTAGTTTCCACTTCTTCAGGCTCAGTCCCATGCCCCTTCTGTGTTAGATTTTGATCTGTTAGCCATGAAACAGATTTGGAAACATGTCTTCTTAGCATCATAACCTTCACCACTTTAGTGCCTTCTCTTCTATCCTGGTAATGCTATTTTTTTGAGATATGCTATTTGCCTCAAACTGCATAATTTGAGATAGGGAGCTTAAAAAAAAAATCACCTAACCCCTACTGTTGAGCCACTAAATGGATTTGGAGATTCAGCTACCAAATGGATTTGAAGTATAAAATGAGTGGCTTATTATATGGGGAATTACTTTCCCTATCCCATTCTTTTGTGAAAAATAGAAACTCCCAGGTCCAAAAAAGGGCAGTATCTTAGCACATAATGTACCCTATGATGTTCTCTAGACTTGATTTTCAGCCCTCCTGTTTCTTGTGAGCTAAGCAGCCCATCTATTTTTCTCATGAGAGCTCTGAATGGCTGGTTTTTCATTTTTAGTATGTGATAATGTTGGAGAGAAAGGACTTTTTGCAAGCTTGCCATTTGGTGAGGGAAATTGAAATTCTCTACACCTCCCCAGTCCTCACCAGCCACAGCGAGCCAGATTTTCAAAATCAGTGCAAGCCTGGCAGGCCCAAAGATGAATGTGTGCATTCAGATTGAGCCCTCCGTTGTGAGGACTCACGTCCCAGCTGGCATCTCCACGCTGCACCTAGGTGGCTGAAGTCTAGAGGAAAGAAGGGAGCCCCAGTTAGCCAGGACAGTGTTGTTCCTGCCCTTTCCCCACCTAGGTCTCAGTGGTATTTGGATCCTGCTGCTCCGTTCTCATTTTCCCCTCCCATTTCTTCACCCAGCCACTGCTGCATCTGGCATGGACTCCGGAAGGTCTTTTCTAGGAGGCTGCATGACTGATCCCCATATGAGCAATAGTAGCAGTCACCCCATTTATTAAGCACTTGCTGTATGCCCTAGACGTGTACCTCCTAAGAAGCCTAAGGAGGAGCGGAAACTTCTTGGGGAGCCTTGCCCAGAAAGGACAGCACATCTCAGATTTATCTGGAATTGAATTTTTATTTCATGCATCCAGTGAAACATTTGCTAAGTGGCTTCCCTGTGGGAGGTGCCAGTCGTGGAAAGATGAATAGGACCCTGTTCTCAAGGCCTTCTGTTTCCAGCCTTATCTTTCAACGTCAGCCTCACACTTTCTCTTTTAATTCATCAATTGAACAACCATGTATTGAGCACCTGTGCCATGCTAAGTCCTGTGTGGAGTCCTGATGATACAGTGGTGGACGAAAAAGGCCTGTCACCACCCTTCTGGAGCTTGCATTCCGCTGGAGGAGATGGGCAACAAGCAAGAAGCAGAATAAACAACCTCTAGCAAATGAATGATTCCTTGTTATCAAGGAAACAAACCTGGAACCAAAGTAGGGGCTGGTGGCACAAAGTTGGTCCTAGTTGTGCAAGGGAAAGCCTTTCTGAGATTGGAAAAATGGAGAAGGAACTGGCCAGGCAGAGAGATTGTGGGGGAGGGCATTCCAGGCAGAGGGATGGGAATGTACAAAGTTGACTATGCACAAAAGAGCTTGGTGTATTCCAAGGAGTAAGGGAAGGCAGGGCTAGAGTGTAAGGGAGAGATGGGGGGAATGGGCACAAGGTGAAGTTTGAGAGGGAGGCAGGGGCGAGATCACACAGCCGATTGATTCTAAGCCATGCTGGGGAGAGTCCCTCCACCCAGTACAAAGAGAAGCTTTGGTGAGTTTAAGCTCAGCAGTGAGATCTGATTGCCTTTTTTTTTTTTTTTTTTTTTTGGAGACAGAGTCTAGCTGTGTTGCCCAGTCTGGAGTGCAGTGGCATGATCTCAGCTCACCGCAACCTCTGCCTTACTGGGTTCAAGTGATTCTCCTGCCTCAGCCTCCTGAGTAGCTAGGATGATAGGCATGCACCACCACATCTGGCTAATGTTTGTATTTTTAGTAGAGATGGAGTTTTGCCATGTGGATCAGGATGGTCTTGAACTTCTCACCTCAGGTGAGTGACCACGGCCAGCCTGATTGACATTTTTGAGATAGCTTTGACTGCTTTTGTGAAGAGTGGATGGATCATAGGGGGCTAGGTGTAGAAGCAGGAAGACCACTAAGGAGGAAAGAGGATGGTGGCTTAGAACTAGACAGCAGCAATGGAGGTAGAAAGAAGTGGGCAGAGGCTACTTAGATCTTGGAGATAGCATTGATGAGATCTGGTGATAGATTACATTGGAATGAGGCAAGGGGAAGGACTCAAGGGTGACTCCTGGGGTTTTGGCTTGAACGGCTGGGTGTATGGTGGTGTTGTGGGAGACAGGAAGACTAGGAGGAGTATGCTCATGGAGAAAATCAGGTTCTATATCAGCCATCCTAAATTTGAGATGTCTAGGAGGCATCCTGTGGAGATTTCAGGCAGGCAGGAGGCCTGGATCTCTGAGGAGACTTACAGGCTAGAAACATTATTACCAGCCTGCTGTGAAGTTGCCAGAGTGCTTGAGTGTCTGCTGACGTTCTTCCCCCTGCCGGGGATGCTCTTCCTTTCTCCTAGACTAATTGCTACTCATCTTTAAAAAGCACCTGTGTCTTTATCTCCTCGAAGATGCATTTAACTCCCTCCCCTACTTTTAGACCCCTGTCTTTACCTTCATCGTGTGTTCAATTGAAATTACCTGGTTTTTTTTTTTTTAGTATCTTATGTGAATGAAATGCTTGGTGCTGGCCTTACCAAATAGTAAGTGCTCACAGTAAGGGTACATTCAACAAATGTTAGCTACTATTATTATTATTGATGGGGGCGATAGACATATAAATAAAAATTGCATTATATTAGGATAAGCATAATGATAGTGTATTAGTTTCTTATTGCTGCTGTAACAAATTACCCCAAACTTTCATGGTTTACATCGTACAAATTTACTATCTTACAGTTCTGGAGGTCAGAAGTCTAGAATGGATCTCACTGACTGAAATCAAGGTGTTAGCAAAGTGTGTTAGTCCTGGCAGCGCTGGGAAGAATTTGTTTCCTTGTCTTTTCCAGTATCAGGAGGCCACTTGCATATCTTGGCTTATAGTTTCCTTCTTCCACCTCCAAAGCCGGCAACGTTGGTCTTCATCCTTCTCAAGCTTCCATCTCTCTGGTTCTCCCTTCTGGATTCTTCTTCTACCTTGAAGGGCCCTTAAAGTGATCCCACTGGGCTACTTGTATAATCTAGGCTATTCTCCCTATTTTAAGATCAACAGCTTGGCAACCTTGATTCCATCTGCAACCTTCATTTTCCATTGCAGGATAACTCATGTAACCTAATGTATTCACAGGTCTTGGGAGTGAGGATGTGGATATCTTTGCAGCGTGGGAAAGGAGGGTGTTATGGGAGCTCTGGGGAGAGGTTCCTAACCCACGGGGAAGAGAAGGTCAGAGGCATGTTACCGTGGCTGCAGTGATGCACGGGCGGGAGTCAGCCTCTACTGTGTCCTCACAGTCACTCCTTCGTCAGAGCTCTTCTCTATGCCAGGCCTCTGTGAAGAGTTGGAGTTGAGGACTCATTTCGCTGTGCATTCTCCAGCTGTCGGCCCGATTGTTCACTTTCAACCCAGGGACACTAACTTCTCACCCGGCCTCTTGAAAAAATTAAATTTACTAACCCGTGCAAACCCTCTACCAGCTCCCCCTCCGCACCCCAAGTCCTCTCCCAGGAAGGGATGGGCAGGGTGTGGGCTGGGTCCTCTGACTTCAGAATTGACTCACAGTTCATGCCCAGCACAGCACGCATCCCTGCAATTGTTCCTTTTGTACGACTAAAACCTTGGTTCCAAAGCTGCAACCAGGTCCCTAACCTCAGCCAGCCCTGTTCCCAGAGCAGGCCATTGGCCCCAAGAGAGGTCAGGAGGGACTGTGTGGTTCGATTAGGACAGATCCGTCTGAGTCCTTAGGGGAAGAAGCAACTGGAGGGCCTGGCCCACTGGTGGCCCCATCTTCTGAGAGTAAAGGAAACACACCATGATGTGCTGTGTAGCCACGTCGCTGCGAGGGGGTAATTAAGACCAGATTTCTGAAGTCCTCTCAGTTATTTAGAGAAAATGGGCTCCTGTCCCAGATCCTCCCCAGAAACAGACGGTTTCTTGAGACCTTAAGCACTTTGGAGAGGCATATGAGCTCTCTTGGCCACCGGCGTGCTGAGTTACAAAGCGACCGAGGGCGTCTGCTGCCTGGGGTCACCCTGCCAGCCCCTTCAGCTCCCATCCCTTGGAAATGCCAGAAACTAAGCTTGTCTTGTAATCTTTTTGATGTTTCCTCTTCCTTCACTGGCCTAAGTCAGGAAGTGCGAAGGTGCACAGAGTTAGGAAAACAAAAGTAAGTACGTCCCTCCAGTGGCGGGATCCCGGTTGGAGCCTGGTTTGGGATAAAGAAGAGTGCCTGTCAGTACTTCCCCAGCTGTGGTGGGAGTTACGTAGAAGCCAGCCGGGGAGGATCAGCCGTGGGCAGAACAGGAAGAGGGGAGTCAACACAG